GAATGCCAGAGTCCTGTTTCAGCTTGGCAGTTCCCACCCTATTGAGAAAAACAGCAATTTGAGTTTAACAGAGAGACAGTCTGTTCCTCTGGCCGGGCTCCCCCATTTTTCTCACTTTGTAATATAAACCCAGGAGGAGCTTAAGCCAACTGAGCTTGGGCGAAGTCCTGCCTTCTTCCAGTGCTCAGTCATGTAGACCCATACCCTCCAAGGACCAATCCTGGAGCTCATACAGCCTGGCTAAAAGCCAGTTCAGAGACCTGAGTCAACCAAAAGCCCATCACTCTACGAAAGAAGTCAGTTTGTGACTGGCTCAGCTCCCCAAATCCTCTTGTATCCTAGCAGTGTAAGAGCTAGCACAGGGGAAAGGCTCTCGGTCAGTCCAACAAGACTGAACTGCTGAGGAACTGCACAGCAAGCATGTCTCTGCACCGCCCAGTGATGCTATATGGGATACCCCTCTGCTAAAGACAATAACTGGAGGAGTGAACACTCCGCAGACAGTAAGTACCTTCAGTAACTACAACATTAACCCAGAACATAGCTAGTATCACTCTATCACAGAGGATATAAAAGACTGCCATCTCTCCTTCCAATTCACTGCTCTTCTTAACAATTTAAATGTTCTTTCAAGCAAAGCTGCTAACAAAAAGAAATCATTAACGTATCACCCTTGTAAAGCTTTTTCCCTATTGATTTTCTTTGCAGGTTGCAGCAACAAGATGAAAAGACTCATCGGTGAGATCCCTCCCACCAAATACTCCGGCGGTGTCCAAGAGGGCCTGTTGCAAGGATCTGTAATTAGATTAACACTTACTGGTTACTGGCGTTGCATTGTTTGGTGTGTCAGCTCGCAAGTACTGCGTCGTCTGCGTGGAAGGTTGGGATAAACCTTGTGAGCTACTGCTGTCACTAATGCTGTTTCAAAACAAAAATGGACATGAACATGACGGCTTGCCACTGTAATAAATTCAAAATTAACGTATCAAAGTTAAAACCAGAAGATTTTCCAGACTAGATGTTGAAAGAAAGGCATTTTTGAAGTCTCTCACACATTAAAATGTATTTCAGGTAACTCACAAATCTTAGCACTTCTGTCCTTTGAGCGTGAACAACTGCCTCCTACTTGTTTTGCAGAATTTCCTCTATTTTCTGGTACTTTTTCTCCACTTTCCAAAAAAAAAAAATTCAAGCTGAAAACGTTTATTGCAAGAACCACCCTGTCATACCAGAAACAACAAAACTATTCTATTCCAAAGAAGACTTCTGTGCATTTGTTTCACGGTATCAACATCCCACTGAGAATCAACAACGACTACAAAAGCTGGAAAGCAGGGAAGTTGGAAAGTTGGCTTGAGCCAAATGGAGAGGAACCCAGAACACCCTGCAAAGCTTAACCGGCTTTTTCAGCCACAGCGATCTCCTCTGGTTTGCTCTGGGCACTGCTAGCTCTACCTGCCACCCTTCAGTTCCTGTGCTGGAGCAAATATCAAAACGATACTCCCTAGTTCATTGTTGCAAACCGTTGTTTGCCCTTGTCGTGGGTTAAAGACTGCTTAAA